TAACTGTCGCCATCCGTAATTTTGGAACTATTATCAAAGAACTACAAACAAAGAACAATCAGTAACTCATTCGATGACGAGGAACCCACTTTGAGACTAATAATGGCTGGAGACGGCTTGAATGGGTAATGAAGAAAAACTTTAATATAACAGCAAATGTACAACGTTTCGACAAGGTTTTGTGTCATCAGGTACAATGATGATGACAAAACCTTGTCGAAAATGTTGTACATTTGCTGTTATATTAAAGTTTTTCTTCATTACCCATTCAAGCCGTCTCCAGCCATTATTAGAAAGAACATCAGTTGACAGGAATGGAGTAGAAGGCTGAGAAAGCATGATAATCCACAACACATTGAACAAGAACTGGAGCGTCTCCAACAGTTAACGAGCCTCCAGAAAACATAACAAAAATAAGATCTGTGTGCACAACATTGTAACTCACACAGGACTAAGTAGAATTCATGATTAAAATTGAAGCTTTTTAAACAAAAGCTAAAGAAAATGAAAAATCAAAGTTTCGGTAACAAACAAAATCTCATCAAATTGAAGACAGACAGAATTTAAGCATGTCTACGTCATACAATGCTGACGAAAATAATGACATTATCACGAGTGCAAGTGCACAGGGGGAGTTACTGGGCATGGAGGTTGTGTTACCCTCCTATTGGTGGAGGGCTTTTTTAGGTGGGAATTATTTCAAGGCTAATGGAATGCAAATCTCATTGGTTGACATGCGGGGAAGACAGCATTTCTGTGTGTGTTTGTGTGGAGGAAAGTTATCGTATAACAAAAAATGTTTTCACAAAATATATTTGGTTACGATGTAAATGGGTACTTAACATCGTTCAATTGAGGAATTAAAAAAAATATTTCCATGGTTTTTTCAGACTCTTACCTGGAAGTAAGAGCATTTAACAACAGAATTGTAGCCTCAAAGATAGATCACATTACAACATATGCAATATAGGATTATTAAGGACAACTATGGAATATAATAGTGTAATGGTCATAATTTTAAACTCTCTAAAAATACGATATAATGAGGATAATTAAGAATAAGTTTTTGAAGTGACTTTTCAAACATTAACGAAAGATTCGAGGCTAGTTGAATATAACCTCCTCATCGCATTATCTCTTCCGGAAAATCAGTTGGACAAATGGAAAATATACTAAGTTTTAAAGGGTTGAAATTCTTCTTAATTATATAAATATTAGTTTTTGAATTCTACAGTTAACATAACGTACTTAAAATAATAATCTACTTCACTAGAATTTCCAAAGATGCTAAAAAGTTTATTTACTTCACACCTTTCAGACTGATGTACAGTCCTTTGTCAGGGGTTTGAAAGTACAAAAGTCTGGCTTGTTTTGAACTTTGTGCATAGCTTCACGAGGGCTATCTACACTAGCCGTCCCTAATTTAGCAGTGATAGGCTAGAGGGAAGGCAGCTGGTCAACGCCACTCACCGCCAACTCTCGAGCTACTCTTTTACCAAAGAATAGTGGGATTGACCGTCATATTATAGTGCCCTCACGACTGAAAGAGCGAACATGTTCGGTGACAGGGATTTAAACCCACGACCCTCAGATTGTGAGTCCAGCACCTTAACCACCAGGTCATGCGGGCCCTCTGTGATACATTTCTGCAACCGTGCTGTTCAATCTTGATGGTAGTTTGTGTTTAAGTTTAAAATATGTATATCAGTAATTCTTTATTTTTGGTACTTAAAATATAACACGATTTTGGTCAAAATGTTTAATATAGATACAGTTATTCATTTATCTTCAAACAGATTTTCTTTAAGACTCGTGAGGATTACTGTTAATTCTTAATCTCCAAAGCTTACAAGATATTATTGGGATTAAGGCCAAAAATACTGATAACAGTAATTAAACATATTCTAATCATTATGCGTTTTTGCTTCGTGAGAATGTGTACTTAGATTAGTATATTAAATTAAAATTAGATGCATAATTTACCAAGTTAGTGTAGGTAGCTTTCTTTGGTCATACTTTTTTAGTCATTACAGAATTACTAAAACCAACAATTCCATTATGTGACGGAGAAGTTAGAACTACAAACTGATCGTTCATGCACGAATCTCCCGTGGGAAAGATCAATAACAAACATTATACCTTTTAAGTACAAAAGGTCTGTTTCTTTATCAGGCTGCTGCGCCACTGCAACAACATAATAGTATGTGTCGTCCAAGTTGTACTGTTCTGCCACAATTGGAATCAGGTTGTACTTGCTATATCAGATAAAAAAAAAATAGTTATTCTATTTCAAATGTTTCTACAGAACCTAAAAGCTCATAATCCTAAAATCAGATCAGATCCATCAAGAATGAATCTTTGGTCCATCATGGGAATTTACCACCCATACCAGACAAATTCATTGTTACACTCAGAAAGAGTACATTACCCAACTTATTATCTCTATCAGTAGTGAAAATAATCACACTAATAAGAACTAAATCAATGTTTGATCTTATTATTATTTCAAAATTAACTTGTTAATATAATTATTTTAATCTTTTATTACATCAATAGACTCCAAACATCACTTTTTCTCAGATAACAAGCTCTCTATTGATTTTGTAGACGCGACATTCATAAAATCTTCTACAGTAAACTTCACACAGAAATAATAATAATAATAATAAAAAATCACGAATTTTAATCATTTAACTTCAGAGTAGAAAATTATCTTTTATTTCATTCTTGCTTCTG